CAGACAGACAAACAGACACACACACACACACACACACACACACACACACACACACACACACACACACACACGCTGCTTGACCTGTGATCCCAGCTCTCAGGAGGTGGAGGCAGAGAATCGGAAGGTCCAGGTCATCTCCAGTTGCTTGTGCTACAATGAGACACTGTTTTTAAAAAAAACAACAAGTGGCCGGGCGTTGGTGGCACACTACCTTTAATCCCAGCACTCGGGAGGCAGAGTCAGGCTGATCTCTGTGAGTTCGAGGCCAGCCTGGTCTACAGAGTGAGTTCCAGGACAGCCAGGGCTGTTACACAGAGAAATCCTGCCTCGAAAGTAGCCAAATTTGGTGTTTGTTACCTTTATCTTCCTATCTTGCTGGTATTGTGTGTGTGTGTGTGTGTGTGTGTGTGTGTGTGGTAGGCTTGTAATTGTGTGTTTGCATGGGTTTGTGTCAGTGTTTTTTCACAGCAATAAAGCAAATGAGGACATCCCGGCTCCTCCCCCAAGTGCTGGCATCACAGGCCTGTGCCACCAAACTTGCTTTCCATCTGTCTTCTAGGTCTATCATTGTATCTTGTTTTTTTCCTTCTATTTATCATTTCTGTTTATCTCTCCTATTGTGCCCCTGGAGAACCATGCAGCAGTTGGAGGTAGCTGGCCTGAGGTCTTAGGAGCATGGCATATTTTCTCCAGCTGCGGCACACTGTGTCCTGGTGTCACCTTTTGGCATCAGCACAGTGGCTGAGTCCTCCCAATTTATCAGGACAAAGCGGTGGAGACTTAGGATGGGAGTGTATTCTGTTTGTTCCCAAAACCAATGGGGCAGCTAGGGAGGATGCTAAGCTTTCGGACAACCCCTGTGGTCTGAATGTGAACACACTAGTCACAGGAAGTTTCTCAAGCTCTGCCCTGAGCCTCTGGAGGAGGAGGCAGCGGTGAGTGGTGAGTGTGACCACGGGAAGGAGAAAGCCCTGGGCAGCAACCAACAGCTTTTGGAGGATGTGTGATCATTTTCAGGGCCCTTGTTTGGGCTTGTTTACCCATTTTTGAATTATAGGGTTAGACTGCTAAGTGTATACCATCCCAGCTGACAAGGTTTCTTTTGTTCTTATTTTTTTTTGTTTTTGTTTGTAGACCAGGCTGGCCTCACACTCACAGACATCCGCCTGCCTCTGACTCTGGAGTGCTGGGATTAAAGGCGAGCGCCACCAAGCCTGGCTGCAAGATTCTTGACACATATCCCTGGAAGAGGCCAAGCCAGTCTTCACCCGTCTTTTCTGAGCGAGGAACGCAAGAGGAAAGACAGAAGAGAGTGGTTGTTTTGTCAGGGAAGCCAGGAAAACAGAGCAGAAGCTTGCTCAACATGTGTCATGCTTACAGTCAAGGGCTCCTGGGATTTCCTCATACCGACTTCCCCTTCTTCAAAGCAGACACTGTTTCTGAGGGGGGCAGGCATTCAAGAACGATCTTGCTTCTGTCTCGATCTCGTTCCCACACCACCTTGTTCCCTTCTGCCTGTCAATGAGGCGGCGGCAGCATGCTACAGTGCCCATTGCCCCCTCAGAGAAACGTTAGAGCGCCTGGCCCCACTACTGCGTCCCCATGTTGCCCGCTACGGCTAGGGACGTCCTCTGTCGACTGTCCACCTACCTGGAGGAACTCGAGGCTGGGGACCTGAAGAAATTCAAACTATACCTGGGGACTGCAGAGGAACTGGGCCAGGTCAAGATCCCCTGGGGACGCATGGAGATGGCCGGTCCTCTCGACATGGCCCAGCTGATGGTGGCCCACATGGGGACAAGGGAGGCTTGGCTGCTGGCTCTCAGCACCTTTGAGAGGATCCACAGGAAGGACCTCTGGGAGCGAGGACAGAGAGAAGACCTGGTGAGGGGTAAGGAGAGGGAGGTACAGTCCAGCCTGGAATTCGTCCGTCCGTTCGCTTGTTTTGTTTTGATTTTCAAGACAAGGTTTCTCTGTGGCTTTGGAGGCTGCCCTGGCACTCGCTCTGTGGACCAGGCTGGTCTCGAACTCACAGAGATCTGCCTGCCTCTGCCTCCTGGGTACTGGGGCTAAAGGCGTGCGCCACCAACGCCCGGCTTGAGGTACAGTCTTACTATGTAGTCCAGGATGGCCTCAAAACCTGTGGTGAAGTGCTTGCCTCAGCTTCCTGAGTGCAGGGATTACAGGTGTGAGTCACCATAACAGCCTATTTGCTTATTTATTTAGCAGCACTGGGTATTGGTCTAATTTTTTAGATGGTTTATTTATTTTTTATTGCATGTGCATTAGTATTTTGCCTGCATATGTGTCTTTGTCTGGTTTCCTGGAGCTGGAGTTACAGACAGTTGTGAGCTGCCACGTGGGTGCTGGGAATTGAACCAGGGTCCTTGGAAGAGCAGCCAGCACTCTTAACCAATGAGCCATCTCTCCAGCCGAACCCCATTTTTTCTTTTTCTTTTTATTAATTCTTTTTTTTTATTAGTTCAAATTAAGAATAAGTTTGTTTCAATGCCAATCCCTTCTCCCTCCCCTCCCCCACCCCTCATGCCCAACCCCATTTTTTTTTAAGATTTCTTTTTACTTATTTTTCTTAGTTATGTGTATCTGTGATCACGGGGATTGGGGGTCAATATGTTCATGGGGAAGCCAGAAGAGAGTGGATCCCCTGGAGCTGGAGTTATAGGCAGTTAGTTGTAAGCCATTTAGTGAGGGATGGGGAAACCAAACCCCTGGAAGAGTGGCAAGCACTCTTAACTGCTGAACCATCTCTTCAGCCCCTTTTGCTTTGAGGAAGGGTCCCACTCTGTAGTCCAGGTTAGCCCGGAACTCATGGGGAACCTCCCACCATGGTCCTCTGAGTGCTAGGTTTACAGGGATGAACCAGCGTGTGAGCTCTACACAAGTCTTGTCTGTAAAGCCTGGTGGAATAACTGGGCTGGGCTAGCAAGTATTTAACAGCCCTGCAGAGGGAAAATATTTTCATTATACAATCACTTTATTGTAATGAACTTACAAATAAAAACTCATACCCCCTGCGAGGAAGACACTCAAGCACTTGCCCAGGCACAGGCACAAACTCTATACATCTCAACGACACGCTATATAGTTAGAATGCCCTCGAGCTTTGCTTTGAGTTTATTTTTTATTTTTTTAAAGATTTACTTATTTGGGCTGGAGAGATGGCTCACAGGTTAAGAGCTCTGGTTGCTCTTCCAGAGGACCTGAGTTCAATTCCAACTCCCGGGGAATATTTAGGTTTTTTTTGTGTGTGTGTGGAAGGGGTCTCCTTACGTGCTCCAGGTTGGCCCTATATAACCAAGGATGGCTTGAAATCCTGGACTTTCTGTCTCTACCTCCTAAGTGTTGGGATTCTCTCTGTCTCTCTCTCTCTCTCATATATATATGAGAGAGAGAGAGACAGAGAGAGAGAGAGAGAGAGATTGAGCATTTTCATATATATATGAAAATGATTTCTGGCCAGGCATTGGTGGCACACGCCTTTAATCCCAGCACTTGGGAGTCAGAGGCAAGCAGATCTCTGTGAGTTCGAGGCCAGCCTGGTCTCCAGAGCGAGTGCCAGGACAGCCTCCAAAGCTACACAGAGAAACCCTGTCTCAAAAAACCAAAAAAAAAAAAAAAAAAAAAAAAAAAAAAGAAGAAGAAGAAGAAGAAAGAAAGAAAATGATTTCCTAGCTACTGCCCAAAATATCTTACCACTGACACAATTCTATTTCTTTACCTTGCTCGACTTTGGACCTGTCTCTCGTCTCTCAGTGTGTGAAACTATACTGTTTATTTCTCATAGCTTGCTCTCCCGACACCATCAGACTGTCCATTTCTAACGCAGCACACTGAAGTGAGGGCTGGACACTCTGGCTTGGGAGGGGCCGGAGCTACAAAGGCACTGGATATAACACCTAGTGTCAGGCCTGGAGGTGTAGCTCACGGGGAAAGTCTTGCCCAGCGTGCTCAAGGCCCTGGCTTTGAAAGAGTAAATTATACTACCGAGTGCTAACTGACCTCCCAAAATGTCTCTTCCAGTCACTCCGGATAACGGCCCGTGCTCCCTTGAGAGCCAATCACATGGCCTTATGGATGTCTCTCCTAGTGTGCTGAGGAAAGGTGAGCTATGAGCCCTGTACGTCTGAGGGTGTACTGGCTACACAGAAGCAATTGCTCAGCTGAAGGCCGGTGAAACAGAAACTGTATGATATATATATTAATATGTATATAATTAAAATGCATACATATAGCCAGGCATTGGTGGCGCACGCCATTAATCCCAGCACTTGGGAGGCAGAGGCAGGCGGATCTCTGTGAGTTTGAGGCCAGCCTGGTCTCCAGAGTGAGTGCCACTGGCTGCACTCCAGAGGACCTGAGTTCGATTCTCAGCACCCACATGGCCAGTCTGCAATCTCAGGACCAACGGATCCAGTGCTTTCTGACCTCTGAAGGTACAAGCATCTGTGAGGTGCTCAGACATACGAGCAAAAAATAAATAAGAAACACCCATATACATTTCAAAAATTAAGCCGGGTGGCGGTGGCGCACACCTTTAACCCCAGCACAAGGGACACAGAGGCAGACTGATCTCTGAGTTCAAGGCCAACCTGGTCTACAGAGGGAGTTCCAGGATAGCCAGAGCTGTTTTACAGAGAAACCCTGTCTCAAAATAAATAAATAAATAAACTAAATTAAACATAAATAAATAAAATCTCTCCCCAAATGGTGCTAATGGATGTGTTACAGACCTTCTTCCCTTTCTCTCTACCAGATCCTCAGGCAACCTACAAAGACTATGTCCGCAGGAAATTCCGACTGATGGAAGACCGCAATGCGCGACTAGGAGAATGTGTCAACTTGCGTTATACTCGGCCTCTCTTAGTAAAGGAACACTCAAACCCTATCTGGGCCCAGCAGAAACTTTTGGATACAGGATGGGGATACGCCAGATCCAGGGGCCACCAGGCTAGCCCTATCCAAATGGAGACCCTCTTCGAGCCAGACGAAGAGCGCCCTGAGCCACCAGGCACTGTGGTGTTACAAGGGGCGGCAGGAATGGGGAAGTCCATGCTGGCCCACAAGGTGATGCTGGACTGGGCCGACGGGAGGCTCTTC